AGCGCAGCTAAGCGGACAAGGACACATGTAGGAGTGTGGGGATAGATGCAGGGGATTGGTTGGTAAAGAGTGTGTGGGTGGGATTATGTTCTGTGTAAGTTAGTGTGGGGGAGGTCTTACCTCAGTGCCACTTGGGATTCAGGCCAGCAAACAGCTTCCCTCCCGCCCGCCCTATTGGTATATTTAGTCACAGCTAGCCGGGGGTATGTCCTTGCCAATTGAGTTTGAGGGGTTACGTTTAAGTATATGGAATGAGATGAACAAGTTTTTAAGGTCTCAACCTCCCCTGCTTCAAAGGGTTAACCTTAGGTTACCTGGGGTGTCATGCCCATCGAGCGTGGATAAGGTCGGCTGATGGCCGGCATTGGAAGGAAATGATTGTTATGACGAGGGGGGAGGTGAGAGGAAGTGGCACATAGGCGCATGGTCAGTTTATTGGCAAGGACGGTTGGGTTCGCTGTATGACACTATGTGTTAAGTTATATGCATATATATGTTAATTTATGGTTATTTATGTTTAATGTTTGGTTACAGAAATGAAGAGAAATGTATTAAATTAATTATGGAGGTGTCATACAGTATTTGTCATCTGGTATAATAAATGTTGTGGCCTGTTTCATCCATACTACGTTGTCTGTCTTTATTTTGGAAGGGGGAGGATTTGGGTTGGTTTATGTATTATGCCGCATCGCAATTCCCCACTACGTACATACAAGGAGATAGCATGTAGCATGGTGGAAGTGAGGCAGGAGGAGATGACATATATACTCCTGAGCAAACTGTCTAAACAAGCTAAGCATATAACAATATCAGGCTAAATATATAGGAGTAAAGAGAAATGAAGTATAATAAACAGGATGTATTTGCCACTGGGTGTAATTGGTCAGACCACAACATATATTATGCAGAAATGTTAAGCTAACTGAAATCAATGACACAAAATGAGAAAATCAGATATTTAAAGAAGCTTCCTGTATATGAGATCTGCAGCACACTCAGTCAATGCCTTCAGAGGGAGGTGCACTGCCCCTGTAGAGCCAGAGTCCAGCCAAATCAGTCAGGACATCCTTCCAGGTGAAAGGCACAGCACACTCCAGGAAGGTGCTCCTTGTGGACAAACTTGCATTCCTCCTTTAGGTTTCAATGCTCTCCGCCCATGCACGCCTCGCTGGGGGGAATTACCCAGTGCCTTCTGGGTAACTTGAATCTGTCATGGAAGCCAGACCCACGAGGCCTTTGCGCTGGCCATGGTGTCCTTGCCAAGTGGCGTCATTCAGGAATCGTGTTCTGTGAGCCCGTGACTCAACCTATGGGGATTTCAAGCTGCACGCGATTGCCCAAGTTTGCCCAGAACTGTTTGTATAGGCGGTCAAATGCTTGGAGTATTGGGTCCACCAGGGAATGGGGGTTTGAGAAGGCCATGGAGTTGTAGGCCCAGGTGCATTTTACGATGCAGGTCTTAACCCTCTGAGTTGTTGTGATTTCGATGCTTCACCAAGGAGGCCACCAGGGTATAAAGGTGGAGAAAATGGGGCCCAGGCACAGGCTAACTCTAATCAGGACAGGGGATAAGACGCCTCCTCTGCCTTAAGTGTGTCAGAAGGCCGCAGAGAAACTCAGCAAGGTCGATACCCACCGGAATCAGGCTGAAGCAGGTCAAACAATTGGCAGAGTGTTCCTCCGGAATAAAAATAAGAATTGTGCTGATATTGCATCAGTTTAGTCAGTTTTCTATCTTAAAAAGAGTGTTTTTCGGAGGAGCTCCAGTTGCATGCGACCAGCCTGGTCAGTTCTCTGGCCTGTAATAACGGTATATTCCTAGCAACTATGGTGAAGATATACAAAAAATAAAAGTGAAAACAATAAAAAAAAGATAAGTGACAAATTATTTAAAATGTTCCCTTTTATGGGAAACAACTGCTACTTCATACTATATTTTTCAAGTTTGCACTTAGCCTGTGGTTTACATTGTATACTATGTATCCCTGTGTATACTTTGGTTTATTTTTTATAAATTTTTGTTTGCTATATATGTGATGTGCTTCCATAATGCTAATGTACTGTACATACTTAATTGTACAAGGAAGTTGCAGAACTCGGAGTGTCGCGTTTCTGGGACAATGTCCTGCCTGGGTTTCCTCACCGCTACATGATATAAGCTACGCTGATATTACCTCTCATTCTAGTCACTCACGGCGCAACAATTCAACATTCTGACACACAACGTTAATGGGTTAATTACTCCACATAAACAGAGGATGGCCTTCCAACAACTGAGTACCTCATAAGCAACAATTATGTGTCTCCAGGAGACTCACTTCTGTAATCATAACCCTCCATGTTTCTCATCAAAAACCTACCCTACTATCTATAATGGAAATGCCCCCGGTAAAAGGGTTGGTTATATTGTTTCATAAGGACTGGGCTTTTTCATCTACCTCCCACTTTGAGGGTGAGGACAGTAGACTCCTGATAGCTGTAGGAACTGTTTTGTCCCTCCATTTACTATTTCAGTAAAAACACACGAGAAGCAGTTCAAACTCTATATTTATATATTATATATTTAATAAATATAATATATATAGATAGAATGTTTTTACTGGTTCTCTATTTCCCTCTACTGGTTACTATATATCAGTTGATGTGTATCAGTGTACTGCAAGGGCAGTGCAATACTATTTTGAGCCCTAGGCAAGACCAGCTACTTGTGCCCCCCTACAAAAAAACTAAATTTGCCACTTTCCTGTCCCAACCCCTTTGTGTGTCTCGTTTTCCCCCTCAGCCCCTCTTTGTCTCTCTTTGTCCCTGCCAGCCCCACTGTATGTCTCTTTGTCCTCCCCAATCCTAATGTGCGCCTCTCCCACCTCAGTCCTCACTGTTCTTCTCCCCCTCAGCCCTTTCTGTTCCTCTCCCCCCTAGCACTCTATGTGCCTCTCTCCCCTAGCCCCTCCATGTGTCTCCTTAACCTCCCAAACCCCTCCATATATCTCCTTAGCCCCCCTGCCCTACACGTATCTTCTAAATACCCCAGTCCCTTATTAACCCCCTGTGTGTATCATTGTGTCTAAGTAACCCCCAGCCCCTCCATATGTCTCCTTAACCCCTCTAGTCCCTCCATGTGTCTCCTTGACCCCCCAGCCTCTCCACGTGTCTCTTTAACCCCAGCCCCTCCTTAATCCCCATGTGTCTCATTAATCCCTAAGACCCTTCATATGTCTCCTTAACCACCAGCCCCTCTTTCAACCCATGTGTCTCATTAACCCCCCTGCCCCTCCATGTGTCTCCTTAACTCCCAGCCCTTCTTTAATCCCCATGTGTCTCATTAACCTTCCAGCCCCTCCATGTGTCTCCTTAACCCCCAGCCATCCCATGTGTCTCATTAACCCCCCAGCCCCTCCATATGTCTCCTTAACCCCAGCCCCTCTTTAATCCCCATGTGTCTCATTGACCCCCAGACTCTCCTTTACCTCACCAGCAGGTAGGCCCTGGATGTTAGGCCCTGCACAAGCCACAAGTGAGCAAAGTACCTGGCTACCTCATATGGCTGCTGACATTCCAGTAGCTGAGCCCACGATAGAGGTCAAGCAACAGCAATGGGAAGCAGCTTTTGATGTCATATGCTATCAACTCTGGTGCAGACTAAAAGCAAAGATACATCAGCTCTCCTTACCTGCAGTGCAGCATGCTGAGGCGGCTCGCACCCCTCCTGGGTTGGAGAGCGACGGGAGGATTATTCCTACACATAGTCCACCTCCGGAGGGACCTCTGCAGGCGGAGACTGTCTGGGGACTTCGCCTTGAGCACCAGGTATGGAGGGGCTATCGGACACTTTGTGTAGTCTCTGGAATGGATCTGGGGCTGGGAATGCTTATATCTGCTTATAGGGCAGTTAAATGTCAGTCTTCTCTCCCCAGTTTAGGCATAGGTTAACCATAATCTCCTGAGTTCAAGTTTTACTTTGCTGTTTACCAGCCCTCCATTATAGGATTTTAACCTAACCTATAATAGGCCTCGTATTCCGGGCATGCATAGACCACTAAGTGCTCTTTAATTTTTTCTACCGGTCATACCCCTGCATAGACAGCGAAGGGTTTTAAGCTTGATTTATTTTTCTGTGAATCGCTTTATCTAGTTACACAAGTCTGATACCGACAATTATTTTCTGCATGTAGTCATGCATTACTGGGTGTGCCTGCTCTCCAGTGGTTATAATCTCTTTTTACCGTATAGCTTGTTTATTATTTTAAAAATGTGGCTTTCTATCACATGTCTTCGATTTGCTGTTGAGGCATAGCAAGCTTGTCTGTCAATCTTTTGTACAACAAAAATAAAGAATTAAAGAAAAAATCATGACGGGATATTAAACATGTAGAACGATGAGAAAATAATCATTAGTACACTGAGAATTTTGTGGAACTAAAAACAAGCCTGTTTTTTTTTTTTTAATAGTTTAGATGGACAAAAAAAAAAAATCAAATTTTAATCATATGTCAAATCTAGCTAAATTGGCCAAATTTTGCAAATTATGTTTTCATTTCACCACAATTAATTAGTTATTGAATCAGCCACATGGTCTTATTCATTTTCCTCATCAGAGCACACGCATGTTATATAAGTAATTGTTATTTGGCCCTTCTCCATTATAAAGTATCAATAAAAAAATATTTTAAACAGCTATAGTTTGATATGTCTAAAAATGTTTATAAAAATCTGCATAGCACATCTGGCTCAGTGGACAAATTAAAACAAAAATGACCCTGTTTTTTCAGGTAATACAATGTTTAATACACTAAGGCCTTGATTTAATAAGCTTTCCAAATGATTTATCTGCAGAAGGCTCCGTTAAAGTCTATATGAATTTTTGAAGTTAAATAATGTGGACATTTTTGAGCCCTATATCTGTATCACATCATGTTGCATTAGAAATATCATTAAAAAAAAAATCATCAAATTGTTTTAAACTTTTTGTTTATTTTTTTTATAAATAAGTTATTTCATTAGTAACACGTCCTTTATGTTTAATATACATTTGGTGAATAAAGTGCTTAGGATAACGCTGGCGTCTACAGGACGTCACAGTAATATGTTACATAATACTGAATAAGGAATACCTTTATTTGATCTTAATATTTCCAAGTTAAATTTAAAGAAGCTACTCCTGTGGCTGGCCCTACATTTCCCAGTCTTTGAAATAAGACGATATGGCTGGTAAAATGATGATGTATTGACACAGAGGCCTCAATCAAATACTTTTGAATAAACTTTTCAAACGATTTTAATATTTCTAGGTAAACTTTAAAAAATGTTTTAATACTTTGAAAAATCTTTTAGTATTTTTATATTGTGTTTTTCTTTTTATACATTGATATATATTTTTAAATATGAGATATTTTTTATATTTTAATGTTTTGAAAAGTTTATCCAAAAAATATTAAAATTGGGGCCAGTGGTAGATTTGCTCTGCAAATGTTATAAATCTATGATACACAGTATATATCGCATGCATATTTATATGTATTTTATTTGTTGTTAGATAATGGTAGTTATTTTATTGTGTTCTACAGGAACTATGTATTGCTGTTCTTTGAACGATGACATTGCGAGATGAGGCTAAATAAATATATAATCTATTAATGAAACGTTTTCTCAACTGACCACTGCTATACTTGCTGAGTTAAAGTCATGTTTTGCATACAAAATTAAGAAATATACAGAGACATAGCATGGTACACACAGAATATGCAATATTTTATGCCCAAGACATAATGAAAAGAATGTCAAAGCAATCCGGTCGTAGGGCTCTTAAAGAGTTAGACCACTGATGGCAAACCTCCACTGGCTGAGTATCACGGTTAATGCAGCTCACAAGTATCTGTGATCCCAAGGATGACCATCATTAGGTAAGATGTTTATCTACATTTGTGTCAGTACACCAGGTAAAGAGCTATGAGATTTCAATCGTTCAGCATTAATTAATCCATTTCATTGGCTACGAGGAGTACTTAGTTGTCCTTTTTTTGTTGCTCTGGACATTCTTAGAAAGCAATTTTCCAGAAAGAGTATAATTATGGAATATAAAATATCTCATAACACCGAGCTGGGAAGTAGCAGCATAATATCATTGATATTTGTTTATTATTACCATGCTTGGTATTTTTGAATTGGGCACTAGCAACACAAAAAGCTAAAAGTCAAAGTCATCTTGGTCAATGGTTTCATCTTGTGAATCCTTTCTTGATGTCCTTTCAGACTGCTTAAAGCTTCCTGTCTTGTTTACAGTCATTCTGCCCATAGCATCATTCTTACAATTACCAATGGGACTTGTACATTCCGAGTCTCCTCTCTCATCTTCTGAGGAGCTAACTGGGTACATCTGGCACTGCTTGCTGCCTGAACTATTTGAGTCTCTATTGGGTGATGTCTCACCTGTACTATTTTTAATTCCAATATAATCTCCATCTGCATCTTCAGCAGAGCCATTCTGAGTAATGAGTGAATGCTGGTCCAAATTATTAGCATCAAGCAGTTCTGTATCTTCTCCATCAATATTTTCATTTGAGCTCATTTCATTCATATCATTTTCTTTGCAGTTTACATCACCCTCATAACTTTCTTCTGGTTCTTCGCCCTCTCTATTCTCTGTCTTTAGCTCATCTCCATTTTCTGAATCCTCTTTCATTTCTTCATTTTTCACCACGGATATTGGATCTTGGTCTACATTAGGGTCTTCATTTATATCAGTGGAGCCTTCTTCTTGCTCATCATGTTGATTCTCTTCACAGATGTCAGTTGTTTCATGTTCAGGTGAACAACCCAAGGTCAACATTTTGGCACTTAGAGATGCACTGCTTGAACTCTTCTCCAGCTGTTTATTGTTGTTCTCTTCTAGTTTCTCTGCCATGTCTTCGTCATGCTTGACATCTGTCCCAGTATATTCTATATTTTTGTCTACTTCACCCTGAACATTATTTGCAGTACTATCTTTATTACCATCTGTTTCTGATGCATGGCCGTTATGACCAGCAGTTTCATCTTCTCCTATGGAGCATCCTGACTTTGCCCAATTTGGATGATCTTCCGTTTCTGAATGAGTTAAGCAGCCCTTCTCATCTACACCAGGATCATCAGTTTCTGTTTTGCACTTTTCTACTGTAGGGCTGGTTGTGTCACCATTTGTACATTCATTATAGTCTTTTTTCATCTTTAGAATGTGTTGAAGATCAAATGCTTTTATAATAGGGGCATCCACAATAACAGCTTTGGGTTTTTCTAACTTTAAAATCCTTTTTTTCTTTATACATGTTTCACATGGACAAAATTCTTCACCATTTGATTGTCCATTGAGGTCATTTCCAAACGACGCACTGAAAGTCATGTCTTCTTCATCAGTTTCGCATGAAAGATCGTTTGTGCCATTTTCCCTGTTCTCTCCATTTGATCGTTTGTGCATACTTTGCAGCCGTTTTCTTCTCTCTTCTGCTTGTAAGGAAGATTTGCGCCTTGAGCTTTCATCTGGGGGTCTTGGCACCTTGTGTCCTGCTCGGGTTTGTATTTTCTTTAGCTCACTTGAAATACTCCTTTGGATTCTTTGACTTACTTCAGACTTAAGCTCTGCAATCATTTCATCAAGATTATCATTGTCCTCTAAATTCCACCTGACCTTGAATTCATTCATAGCATCCACATAGTGAGTCATAAATGTGTTCTCAATTTTTTTCAGTAGTTTAAGTACCCATACTGGATCAGCTTCATATGATTGCTTATCAATAGTTGTTTCACTATTTCCAATTGAATCAGAAGATACAACAGTTGACTGACATTCACTTGGAGAATTAATACAATTTGTTTCCTGTGAATTGGACTCATTTGATTCTGGATTTTTTTCAGTATGGCTAAGGTTGTTCAGTTTATCATTACTACAAATACTGTGCTCCAGGTTTACTGTCTCATCACCATTAACATTATTACAGCTACCATTTGTTAAATTCTCTACAACCGAACTTCTAGATTCTTCTTCTGGCAAACAGTCTCTGTGATTTATTTTTTTCTCATTCATATTTTCATCTACATATAAAGACTCTGCTTCACCATGACAAGCAGGTTTTTCACAGTCTTTAGTTAATGTGTTCTGTACAGTAGAGTCAGCATGTTGAGCAGCTGATGTGATGTTATTTGTAGTTTTAGTATTCATAGCTGCTTTTATTAAAACCCCTTCTTCAGCCTTTTCAGCTACTACAGGACACTCACCACCACCGACTATGCTACCATCTCCGGAACCCCCAAAACCACTGTTGACATCAACTCCAGAGGATGAAACTGGAGTTAGTTCATCTTCCCGAGAGTAGATCTTACCAGGTTTAATGTCTGCAGCAACCTTGCTAGGCAAACCATCTGCCCACATAGCCTGAAATATGTTCATCAACTCTGTATACTTGGGTTTGTTTACCTCATTTGCTTTTTTAGTGGGATCTATCGGGTTCTCATCTAAAAGTTGAAGACTAGCAAGACAAGAAATCAAAACCTTTGCAGAATTACTGAGCCTTTGTCCCTTCACAGGGGATACTTCAGGTAAACTGTTACACCTGTCAAATTTAGATTCTTGTGATGAGCTTAGCAATGCTTTCATTATCTGGACGGAGGTATGTATAGTGCTTGGGAGAGTTTTTAAGTCACACGTTGAATATATTGGTACACTGCTACCTTTAATATTATTGGTTTGTGCCTCATTTAATGCTTCATTTTCGTCCTTCTTTTCATTTTTTACATCTGGGGTAATGTTATTATCGCTAATATTTGTTATTGAAGTAGTTCCTTCGTTTTCAGCTAGATTGCAAACTTGTGTTTCTAAGACTAAATCTTTATAGCTCTTAACATCTTCCTGGTCTTTATTTAATATTTCACAATGGGACTCCTGACATACCTTTGTCTGACAATCTTCAACTTCATAATCCACTACCATTGTACGAGAAGGTATCTTTCTTAGCCACTCATGAACAACTTCCTCAGAAGACACATTTGGCAATGCAGATGGAATGAGTTCACTATGGATTTTATTGTCGTTATCAACATTTTCACTTTTCAATTTCCTTTTTGACGAACTAGAGCTATTTTTGCGTTTTTTACTATTTATTTCCTCAGTACTATTGTTAATGCTGTTTTTAATTTTTTTGCAAGTCTCTGTACTAGCTCTTGATGCCTCAATTCCCTTGGAACCAGGTGTCGAAGACCGGGAACTAACTGATTTTTCTCCTTTCTCAATAGTCTTCCCTTGTTCACTGCTAACACTGCCACTGGAATGTTTAAACTTAGACAATCTCAGATGCCTGTTGATTGGGCATCCTTTTGGTGGTGAAGGGCTATAAGTACATTCAAACTCTGAATCTGATGCTTTGCTTGATACATCAGCATTCTGACTGTGGCAGTCTGGTTTCACATTTGAGTCGATCTGTTCTTCTATCGTGACATTTGTTGACCCATGGTTACATGGCCCAGAGGACTCAGAATGCTTGCTTCTTTGTTCAGAAACTGTGGACACTCTAGAACTCATGCTATAAAGATTACCATTTTCTGGATAGCTGATACAATTGCATTTAGAACTACAAGACTGGGATTTACTTGATGGCCGTGAATTCGGAAGGCTGACCTTACCCTCTTCTGAAATGCAGTCATCCTGGTTTTGTTGGGAGTCTCTAGGAATTTCAGGGCTACAAGGTTTGCTTGGGTTGTCTTGCTCATGAAATGAATTGGATTCTGTAATAGAAGATACAGTCTGAAGGGAATTGTTAGATTGCAAAGTCTGTTGGCGTTTTTTAGTTAATAAGTTTGCATTTGATTCTGTAGGTGAGCTAGCTTTCTGTAGCCTTTCTTGACCACCATATAGTCCATTGCTAGCATTATCTAGAATGTCGCTATTTTGCTTGGAGAGCAAAGATGAGCATATAGATTTACAAGATCCTTGTTCATTGCCTTGACCACTTCTGCCCTTCTGCAAACTTTTTTTATTAGACGTTTCAGTCATTCGAGATGATGCTCTTGAAGACTTTTCATAGTCACTGACATCTGTTCTTGAAGATTTCAATGCAAATTCATTATTTTCCCCATCACAAAACATTTCATTACTTTCTTTCCCGTTTACCATAGAGTGATCTGCACATTCAGTATCGTATGTGTCTTCAAGATTCATTCCCTTTTCATTTGATATTCCCCTAATATTCTTTATGGGTGTTGATCTAGTATTTTTATCACTCTCCTCTCCACAGCTCATGCTTGACTGGAGACTTTTTGCACTTGTGCTAACCTTCTTGTTAAGTCTCCTATGACATTTTTGATGTGGTGCT